GAGAGGGTTAAACCAGGCTTCTCCTTGGAGGTAAGGATTCTGAGGCTTCGTCTAACATACTTTGGACATGTTGTAAGGAGGGACCAGTCCTTGGAGAGGGACATTGTGCTTGGGAAGGTGGAGGGACAGCACAGGAGGGGAAGGCCCTCTATGAGGTGGATTGATTCAGTGACTGGGATAATCGGGATGGGTGTGTCAGAGCAGTGTGATTGGCACAGGACAGAGCAGAGTTTAGGGCTATTGTACATAGGGTTGCTATGAGTCGCAAGCAACTCGACAGCACCTAACAACAAGTTTTAGTTGCTTATTTTATTCTTTTTATTTTGCGTTTAATTTACTCTGCTTTTTCTAGCTTCTTAAAATAAGAGCTGAGGTCACTAATTTTTGATCTCACTTTTTTTTCTGGTAAAAGCGTCTTAAATCTATAATTTCCCTCTAAACATGCTGTTGCTACTTTCCACAAATATGGATATTTTGAACTTGATTATTTAGATATACGATGCTTAATTTTTCACGCATGTATTAAATCATATTATCCTGATCAAATGTTTGCTCATGTAACGCAGCAGTGTTTTCTATATCCCCTGCATTCATTTTCTTTTCACTTCCTGCTAGGAAGCTGCTGCATGTCAGCTATACTGACAGTCATAAATGTAATTCTTTTGAACTTAAATATGTCATAAAATCAGTCACTGCCTGTATTATGACAGAAAGAGGAATTTCATAACAAATAATTCGATAGCATTTAATATTATTGGTATGTTTTGGAATTTATTGAGATTATTTTATAGTCCAGCATGTAGTATATCTTGGTGAATATTGTTTGCTTGAAAAGAATGTATATTTTATGATTAAGTATAGTAATTCTTTTTGTATGTGTTAGGTCAAATAGTTTATAATGATCAACTAACTCTTCTATATTTTTAATGATATAGTTCTGAAGGTCTTTTATTAAGTACATACATATGTAGCACTGTTTAGTCCTCTTGATGAATTGGTTCTTATCATTGTTAAATACTCTTCTTTGTCACTGTAATAGACTCTATATAATGGTTTACTTTGTCTTTTAATATGACCTTGCCAGCTTTAATATGCAGTGATGCATGGTGTATATTTTTCAAATTTTAATGTATTTATGATTTTACATTGTAAGTCTCCTTTTCTGTATAGTGGAGTAGACCCTGGGGGGAGGGATTATAAAACAATGAAGGAATTTTTCTTTTACTTTTCCAAGACCGTAGTGTACTGGTGGGAAGGGTTGGGAGGGGAGAAAAGTGCAACAATGAATGAATGGAAATCCAAAGTCTCTGTAAATTTTCATTGAAATTAATAATAAAAACAATGTAAAAAATATAAAAGGAAAATTTTTTTAAAGAAAAAATTACGTATATCACCTTTTATTCAAGGAGATAGATTTTCAGTTAATCATCAGGCATAACAGTTGCAAATAATAACATAGTGAACTTCAATTTTTAGTCTAAAATATGTGGGGATCAATTAACTTTAATTTTACTGTGGTTATTGCTTTATAAAATAAAAAAATAAAGTTAAGAATTATATTAGATAATGAAAATAAATTGAAAAACTTATTTAGTTAAAAAAAAGAAAGTGCTCCTTTTATAGGTAGTGGAATGTTGGTTCTTGGTTTTGATCCATAGTAATAATTTATACGTTTTAATTGCCATCCATTTACATTTAATATAATTGTTCACTTGTTCTTGACAGTTGCCCTCAAATCAGTTTTAGCTCATGGTGACCCCATATGTGTGGAGTGGAATTGTCCCAAAGGCCTTTCAAGGCTGTGGCCTTTTGGACGGTGATTGCCAGGTTGTGTTTTGAGGGAACCTCTGGGTGGATTTGAATCACCAACCCTAGTAATAAAATGCTTGACTATTTGCACCACTCAGTAACTCCATTATTAATACAGTTGAGTTTAAATGTCATTGTGGTATTTGTTCCTTGGAAAAGGACATTCTGCTTGTAAACACGGGAGATGAGCAAAGAGAATGAGCCCTTCATTGAGAGGATTTGAAACAGTGACTGCAAAAATGGGTGTGAGCACAGGAGAGATTCTAAGAAAAGCGCAGGATAAGAAGGATCATGCTGTCGTATATAGGAGAGCTGTGAGTCAGAGCCACTTAACAACAAGACAAAAAGGGAGAGGATTTGTTAGTGACAAAGATCATTTGGCCCTGCTCTTTCCTTTTCCCATCATAAAATAGAACCATGGTAAAGAGTAAGCTAATTTAGTAGTTGTAACTAAGTTACAAAGCTAAGTTAGTGGTTGTAACATTAACCTCATATTTGTTAATCATTGTAATCAATATAGTTTGATAACAGCAGGTGTAATGTCGCACCCTTTTTTCACTTCCCTTTTCCACACTGTAAGGATGCTAAGAGTCACCCTGGAAAGTATGTAATAACTTCCAATTAAATTTATGTCTGCCAAATACCATTTTTGTGTAATCAGTCAGTTAATTAATTCGTGAGCAGCAGCTTCGTGTTGCCTCTAGAATCTTGCAGTATAGTGGAGAAAGCATTTATACAGTTTTACTGTGTATTTATTTATGTTATCTATAGCACTTATTGTGTAAGTTTATTATGCATTTATATAATAAATGTATAAATAGCAGTACAAAACTGTTTGTGAGCATTGCAGATAATAAAGAAAATAAAGATGTTCATATGGTTAATTTGAGAAATGACTGCCTGAACAGGGAAATTGCCAAATATGTAGGCCTTGGCCATGTTCTCTAGGGACTGGCAGTGTGCAGAGTACAAACTTCTCTGACATTTTCCTGAATTGCCTAATATATAGTCTGGTTCCTTTTGTTTCTGTCTGCAGAGATTCTTAGTCGTTTGTAGTAAGAAAAACTCTTGTTCCCCCCCCTTTTTCCCTGCCATGCTCTGATAGATAATAGAGATATATCACCTGATTATTTGAAGAACTGAAATTCCATTTTGATTTGGCTTTCCTGAGTGGAAAACATTTACCTCACTGTACATATTTGAGTGTGAATTGCTTCTCTTTCTGATGTAATCTGTTTCTACTCCTCAGCATACAGAAGATTTTATGAATAATATTCAGTACAGAAAGAGCTCTAAAAATAATTGTGCAGGTAGGATTTTGTTAGTCTTATGTGGAACACTGGCAGGAGAAAAGAACAAAGGCACATCAGGGTGAAGGTATGGGAGGCGGAGCATTTCATTTCATTTGCCTCCACCAGAAGCTTGAATTAAGTGGAGAAGGAAAAACAAACAAGAAACAGGAGCATCTGCATTAGCTATTGAATGCTTCATTTCTCATCACTGTTAGTCACATTTGAATGGAACCATTACAGTCTTTTTGGCTGTTTAACTAAGGCTCCCCACCTCTAAAAGAAAAGAAAGTCTTGCAATTTTATGTTTAAAAAAACAGTGAAATATTTTTGACAGGCTGCATTTGGTTTTGAAATTCAGTCTTAAAGCCCATTGACTTTCAGAATGGTAGTAAATGGCATACAATACATACCTTTCTTTTATGCCTAATAGCACCTTCAATGGTTTCTAATACGTATTATGTACAAACACTTTTTTTTTCTTCTGCCTCTACCTGACAGTTTACAGCATTAAGCTGAATTCTAAGATGAACAGCAGAGTGGAGGTGAAATGTTAAGCAGGTTACTAGTGGATTTTTGTGGGAAGGAAGAAGAAAGCTCTCTACAGCTGCTTTATCATACTTTTTTATAAAGATATGAAAGTGATATATTTACTAATGTAAAATTAAGTTTACTTATCCTTTAAATGCTTTGAGTTATTCTTCCCAAAAAGAATAGATTTATGATAATCAACTGGCGACTTTTCTCTTCAGCTAGAATTTCAGAGTCCATTTTGTACAAGGACATCTATTTTGCAACTGTGTTGCAGACTGTTCTTTTAAAACGGAGCGCTAGTGCCATAGTATCTTTTCCACTGTGATGCTAATCAAATCCTCTTTGAATCCATCTCATGCTGCACCAGAGAAAGAACAGCTGTCTCCTCTCATAAAGATTTAAAGCCTTGGAAACTTGATGGAGGATCTCTGTGGGTCAGACAGAAGCCATTCGATATTTGATGGTTGGTGGGTTTAGGGGATTCTCAAATTGTATGTATATAAATTGGTTAGAAATAAGAATTTCTAGGACTACATTTTAATCTATATTTGAATACTGTTCACACTATTCAGCCCACTATAGATAGATTCAGTAGATTTGCTTTCTTACTTTGCTACAATAGTTGGATTTTTGGTCTAGCTGTAGTTGTGTGCTGACTTTCTAGCAGGTTTTCAGAGGCAGTAAATTGTATGGGAGGAGATTGCCCATCTTTCTCCCATGGAGCAGCTGGTAGATTTGAACCATGTCCCTAGAAAGAAAGATGCATAGAATCTCAAAAAAAAAAAAGAATAATATCATTAGTAAATTAAATAAAAGACTCTTTTAGTACACAGAATTCAGATACTGGACTTAAGATACTTTGTTCCTCACTCTCACCCCCAAAACTCCCACCAAACCAGACCACTACCATTGATTAAATTCCCGATGCCCCAGTGCTCTTTAAGAAAGCAGATCACCACATCTTTCTTCTACAGAGCAGCTGGGAGATTCTAATGAGTAACCTCTAGGTTAGCAGCTGACTGCTTAATTACTACACTATTAAGATTTCTTATGCTTTGGCCATCTGCTAAAAAATTAACTAAGCAAATACTAACAAAACAAGGTTTGTCAGTGCTGTGGTTTATAAAGAACCCTGGCAAGTATCACTTACTCTTAAAGGGAATTATCCTTTCCCCTCTCTTGGCTTGAATATTCTTCAGGAGACAAATGATAATGTTTATGATTTAATTTTTAAAAATTCTATGTTTTAAAAAAAAATTCTATGTTTTCTCTCAGATTATAAAGTTTTCAGACTGTCATTTTCTATTAGATAAACAATGCACTGTTTAATCTATATTGTCTAATTAACCATTTGTGACTTCTCAGGTACTGACTAGGATGAATGTGTTATGGCGGAACTCTGTGTCCTGCATGAGGATAGGAAAGGTGCTGCAAAGATACCAAAGTGGTCATCACCCAACAGCTCCTCTGGGATCAAGGATTTTAACTGACCCAACCAAAGTTTTTGAACACAACATGTGGTAAGTTATCTCTTTAGGTATAACATTACCATTGGTATTCTTCTATTTGTGCCATGTCAGGAGTGGGATACTATATGCAGAACAGATTATCCGGGAGGCTGGGCTCTATGAGGAGAAATGTGGGGTCAGGATTGGTGGACGATTTATCAACAATCTGCGTTATGTGGATGACACAACCCTGCTTGCTGAAACTGAGGAGGACCTGAAGCGCCTGCTGCAGAGTGTCAAGGACTGCAGCCTCCAATATGGATTGAGGCTCAATGTCAAGAAGACAAAGATTCTCACCACTGGACCAATTGGCAGCATCAGGATGGATGGTGAAGAGATTGAGATTGTACACAGCTTTAGTTTGCTTGGCTCCATAGTCAACAGTCTTGGCACCAGCAGCCAGGAAATTAAAAGGCGCATTGCCATGGGAAAGTCTGCTGTTAGGGCCCTCTCCAAAGTACTCAAGAGCAGTGGTGTCTCTCTGGAGACTAAGGTGCGTCTGATACAGGCCATGGTCTTCACAATCACCTGTTATGCATCACAGAGTTGGACAATGACCAAGGAGGATAGAAGGAGAATTGATGCTTTTGAGCTGTGGTGCTGGAGAAGAGTATTGAGAATACCATGGACTGCTAGGAAAACAAACAGATTTGTCCTGGAAAGGGTTAAACCGGGTGGCTCCTTGGAGGCAAGGATTCTGAGGCTCCGTCTAACTTACTTTGGACATGTTGTGAGGAGAGACCGGTCCTTAGAGAGGGACATCATGCTTGGGAGGGTGGAGGGACGGCGCAGGAGGGGAAGGCCCTCTATGAGGTGGATTGATTCAGGGACTGGGATAATTGGGATGGGAGTGTCAGAGACAGTGCGATTGGCACAGGACAGAGCGGAGTTTAGGGCTGTTGTACATAGGGTCGCTATGAGTCGCAGGCGACTCGACGGCACATAACAACAACAACAACAACATTCTTCTATTTTGTTGCCAAAAAGAATTTTTAAAGCTGATTGTCTAGTTTATGTTATTGTTGTTGCTAGATGCTATCAATTCACTTCTGACTGATAACAGTCCTACATACTAGAGGACAAAAACTGCCCAGTTCTGCTCCATACTCACTGTTGTTGCTATGTAAGTCTATTTTACATTCACTATGGCAATCCATCTTATTGATGATCTTGGTCCTTTTTTGCAGACATTCTGCTTTTCCAAACTTGATGTCCTTCTATAATGACTGTTCCCTCTTGATAGATAACATTTGCAGAAATATGTAGAATGAAGTCTCCTCATCTTCCCTGCTAAGCATTCTGATTGTACTTCGTCCAAAACAGACTTGTTTATTCTTCTGGTATTCCATGGTATATTTACTATTCATTGCTAATGCCATAATTTATCAGTTCTTCTTTAATTTTCCTCTCTTTGTTCAGTTCTCATCCTCATAAGAGGAGATGGAAAATGGTGTGACTTGAATCAGGCAGACCTTCGTCTTCAAAGTAACATCTTTATTTTTGAACATTTAAAAAAAGTCTTTTGCAGCAACTTTATCCAATACAATATCTTTGATTTTGTGACTGCCAAATCCATGAACTACATTTACCATTACAAGTAAAATGAAGTCTTTAGCAACTTCAGTCTTTTCTCTGTTTATCATGATACTGTTTGTTGATCCAATTGTGAGGATTTTTGTTTTTTTTGAGATTTGATTCATACTAAAGACTACTTTATGTTGAAATTTGATTCATATACCTCCTGACATTTTGCACTGGGAAATATGGCAAACACCTCTGCAAATTATTGAGGAGTAGTGATGTTAGTTTGAGGATTAAGGTATGCCTAATTCACGCCATGGTCTTTTCAATCACTTGCTGTGCATCTGAGAGCTGGACAATGAATAAAGATGACAGAAGAAGAACTGATGCCTTTGAACTGTGTTATTGGAGAAGAGTAATGAATATCCCATGGATGACCAAAAGGATAAAAAATATGTCTTGGAGAAAGTGTAGGTAGAGTCCTCCTTGGAGGCAAGGATGATGAAACTTCATCTCACATACTCTGGACATGTTGCTAGGAGAGGCTATTCCTTGGAGAAGGAGAGGGACCTCATGCTTGGGAAAGTAGAGAGATGGGAAAAGAGAGAAAGACCTTTAATCAGTGGGACTGACAAAGTGACTACAGCAATGGGCTCAAATATGTCAGAAATAGTAAGCATGACACAGGATAGTATAGAGTTCAGATCTGTTGTTCATAGGGTCACTATGCATCATACTGAACTACGGCACGTAACACTGAACAACAAAAACAAAGCCATTAGTCTTTTTTTTTTAATTTTTATTTATTTATTTTATGTGTGTACCGTCAAATTGGATCTGACTGGTACAGGAGGCTATTGTTCCTCCTTCTTCAGCAGAGCATCTGGTGGATTCGAACCGTGCACCTCTGGGATTGCAGCAGTTTCCTGCCACTAAACCACCAGAGCTCGCCATCCATTAGTCTTTTGAGTTTTCATCAGTAAGTACTTCAAGTCCTTTTCAGTTTCACAAAGTAAGGCTATGTTATCTGCATATTACAAGTTGTTAATGAGTCTTCCTTCAATCCTGATGCTGTGTTCCTTATATAAATCTGCTTCTTAGATTATTTAATCAGCATAAGGTTGAATAGGTATAGTAGAAGGATACAGCTCTGATACATATCTTTTCTAGTTTTAAATCACTTTATAGCTTTGCTGTTTGAATAACAATAATAGTTTATATATAAGCTCCATACGAGCATAATTGAGAGTTTTAAAATTCCTCTTCTTCTCAATGATATCCATAGTTGGTTATGATCCACACAGTTGTATGCCTTTACTTAGTCAGTGAAACACAGATAAACATCTTTCTGCTGTTCTCTGCTTTCAGATCTTTTTCAAGATCTTTTTGATATCATCAATTATATCCTTCATTTAATGTCCTCTTCTGAGGCCAACTGGCATTTCTGGCAGTTGCCTGTCAATCTACTGAATTATCTTCAGCAAGATTTTACTTATGTTTGCTTTTCATGATATTATTTGATAAGTACCACATTCTGTTGGATTCGCTTTCCTCAAGTTGATGGGCCAGGGAGTTGTCTTTCAGTTGTTCACAGACAAGTGAACATCTCTAGTGCAAGATATGTTTTTCTAAATAGTTCAATTGATATTCTGTCAATTCCTGAATTGTTCTTTGTTAGTATAGCTTGGACTTCTTCCTTCACTACCATCAACTCTTGATCATATATGCTCCTAAAATAGTTGAATGTTAACAGATTCCTTATGGTATAATGACTGTGTATTTCTTCCATCTTCTTCCTTGTTTCCTCAGTCAGTATTTTGCTCATAGAATCCTTCAGTACTGCAGCTCAGGGCTTGAACTTGTTCTTCATTTCTTTCATCTAAAAAAATATCAAATGTGTTCCTCCCTTTTGTTTTTCTAACTTCAGTTCTATGCACATTTTATTATACTATTTTGTCTCCTTGAGCTGCTCTTAGAAATCTCTTTTTTTAAAAAATTATATTTTATTAATTTTAAGGAATGTTTACAGAGATTTTGGATTTCCATTCTTTCATTGTTGCATTTTTCTCCCTGCCCACCCCTCCACCCCTCCAGTTTGCTCTTGCCCTTAGAAACCTTATCTTCAGTTCTCTCACTTTATTCCATTCATTTAACTTGCTCTACATTTGAGAGCAAGTTTCAGTCTCTTGGGATATCCAGTTGGATTTTGCTTTGTCTCCTATATTTTTGAAAGTCTTTATTTTAGTCATGTGTGAAATCCTTGATGATATCCTACAGCTTATCTAATGTTTGATGCTATCCTACAACTTATCTAGGAGTCAGGGTGTAAAGTTTAGACATGTAAATTAAGATAGAATATACTGAAAGTTGTATTTGGCTCTTGTGCACTTGCTTTAATTGTCTTCAGCTTTAACTTGTATTTTACTATGAGCAATTGATGGTCTGTTCCACAGTCAGCCCCTGGCCTTGTTGTGATGATATAGAGCTTTGTACCCATTTCTTTCCACAGATATTTGATTCCTATATGTCCTATCTAAAGTTATACACATGAATAGTCCTCATATTGTTGGAAAAAAAGTATTTATAATGTATGTTGTTGGTCTTGAAGAATTGTCATATGATTTCTAGCATCATTTCTCCTACCATGACTATATTTTCCTATTACCAACCCTTTTTTGTTTCCAACTATTGAATTTTAGTCACCAGTAGTTATTAATGCATCTTGAATGGTTGGTCAATTAAAACTGTAGAGATTGATAGATATTCCATTTCTTCATCTTTGGCACCAAAAGCAGTTGCTACAGAGCAGTTGGTGGTGGGAGCCAGGTACCATCTAGTTCTGACCTCAGGGTCACGGAGATTGAGGTTCTTATGGTCCATTAATCCTTTGGATTAATTGTTTCCATGCATCTTTACTTTTCCCCCGCTATTCTGGCTCGGCTGCATACAGTCTTTTAAAAATTTATTATTATTATTATTATTATTATTATTATTATATTTTTTGTGTGTGTACCATCAAATTAGATCTGACTTGTACAGGAGGAGATTGCTCTTCCTTCTCCAGCAGATCATCTGGTGGATTCAAACCACATGCCTCTGGTATTGCAATGCAGCTTCTTGCCACTAGGCCACAAGAGTTTCCTTGCCTGCAGTCTTTGAAGACCCCAGACACTGCTCGCCAAGTAGTTATTGTTGTTATATGTATGTACTGTCAAGTTGGCACCAACCCATAGTTGACCCTCCAGTGGTTTTCAGAGACAGTAAATCACACAAGAGGAGATTTCCCATCCTCCTTCCATGGAGCAGCTGGTGGATTCGAACCATTTGCTTTTGGGTTGGCAGCACAATTCTTTACCACTAAGCCACCAGAGCTCCCTACTAAAGCAGTAAGTAGAAGATTTTCTTTTTTGGACTATGTATTTTCACTTGCTTTTAATGTGACAATTTAAAATTACGTATGTGGCATATGCATACATCATAGATAGATAATT